TTCGCTCGCGAAGCTCTTGTGACAGTTCCTCCTCGCTGTTCACCTTCTCAATCTCCTTCAGTTGCTCGGTGAGTTGTTTGCGCTGGAGAACCAAGGCATTACCCAGTTTTCCCGCCTCCTCAAGGCGACGCTCGGTCTCTTGTAAATGAGCAGCGAGAGCTCGCTTGGCGGATTCGGGAGAAGCAGGACCAGTGACGAAGAAATCATGATCGTAGTTCGAATATCGGTGGTGAGCGGGCACCGGCGCGGGCGCAGGCGGTGTTGTTGTGATAAAAGGGTCATATTGCGCTGCGCCGGGAGCGGGCAAGCTTGGCTTGTCGGAAGCCAGTGAAGAAGCCATGATTGCAGAGCAAAAGTGGCCCTCTTCCGAAGAGGGCAAGGAAAACTTCCTCAATCACGCCTTGAAACCATCAAGATACGCAGACGGACGACGTAGCAGGCCCGTCGCAGGGGTGATGGCTCTGTATTTGTGGTGTGTTGAGAGTTTCGAACGTGTTGTGCTGGCTAAATGAAGCTGGGGTTGTGTTTGTTGTTGAAAGACGGGGTACAGCACCTGTTAAAGTACCGGTACCGTAATAGATTAGACAGACCAGTCAGATTGCAGCAATGCCACCTGCAGGGAGAGTGCGTAAGATTGGAGCTAAGGTGCTGTAAGAGAGCAGACCCGGCTGCGAGAACAAAAAATAAAGACAATTCCCACAGAAAAAAAAGAACTTATTATGGAAGAAAAAAAAGTGAAAGTGAAAGGCGATTCAGACCGTAATAGAAAAAAAGAAGCTTTCAGTAGCAAAAAGAGAGTTCAAAGAATGAGTGTAATGCAGCGCAAACGGGAGAAACCTCGAAATGTCGGTCGGTCGTCGAGAGAAAATGGGATTGGAAATGCCCAGATTTGCGGGTGAGAGTGTGTCCAAGTCAACAACACTCCTTAGTCAGGTACCGCAAAGCAGAGCACACACGCGCACAACGCACAAGCAGAGCAGAGCAAAGCACAGGCAGACTGCACGACACACACACAGTGGGTTGTACCAAGACCAAGACCAGTAATTAGTGGGAATTTACCCCTGTTGACTCTGGTTCAAGCGTCGCACCTCTGACAGACCAAGGTAGTTGTGGTATTTGGAGCTTCTGGTGCTGGCTCCTGGAATGTTTTCCCGACGACTTATGCGACAGCGATCTTATTGCTCATTCCCGAGTGGAATTGGCAACTCAGAGTATCTCCAACGGCCGAAAACGCTTGTTACCGCTCGAGGGGCGTTCTGTTACCAATGCAACCAAGCCAACGGCGACAAAGGAGGCGCAGGCAGAGTTTCCCAGCAGTGACGTGGGCGTTTGTTGAAATTGACGCGGAAAAGAAACGACGAAGAAAAAGAAGATGAGTCCAGACTCGAGAGAGCGCGACAGCGAGAGATGTTTGTCTGGTGCGCGCTGGTACCTGACCCTCAGGTGGAGTCTGCTCCGGCGACAAAGTCTCTTTTCAATTCCAGAGTGGACTGGGGTGGATCGACTGATTTCAAGGGCGGGCGGCCTGTGACGTTTTCGCCCTTGTAAAAGGGTCCGAGGTTGGCTGAAATACGAAGCAGTAGGAAAAGGAATTATGCAGATACACTAGTGATTGAGAGACGTCCGTCCGTAACAGTGAAAGTTGAGCAACAAGAACTGCTGAAGGAGCAAGTTCTTTCAAAGAGTCGCGTCGAAGTCGAAGTCGAAGTCGAAGTCGAAATCGATTGTCCTTGAGAAAAAAGAATAAAGAATGGATGGCCCCGTGACGGTGACCTAAAAGACAGGACAGTATCGAAAGGGGGACGACGATGCCGAGTGATTGGTAGAGGGCATCCAAGACTGAGGTCAAGTAAACGCGCCGTCTGTTTTCCCTTTGTTTCCGTTCCGTCTCCTTCGGGGCTATCGCCTATCGCCCGTCGGTATCGCTGGTTTTTGCTGTTGGGTTAGTATTACGAGTATGAGGAGAAGAAAAAAGAGAGAGGTCGAAGACGAAAAAGAGAGAAGGGATTAGGATTACTTTTGTGAAAAAGTATTTGAGGATACGGTCAGGTAAGGAGAATGGAGAATTGACTGGGGAACAGCTGCTAGCTCAGGCCAGGCCCAGGGTGAAGCGAGAAGTGAAGCTGAGCACTCTGATTCCCTCTCTTTCTTCTTTTTTCGGGTCTGTCTAGGTATCTAACTTCACTGAATGACGAGGTTTGAACAAGGAAAAGGCTCCAGTTTGTAGGCTGTGCGTTCATGGGAATCTAAGCAGCCTGGGCTATCTACAGTGAATTCCTCTGTGAATGACCGAATGTTGCTATTCCTAGCTACCAACCAGCTATGGATTGGATGACTTGCGGTATACAGGCCCTTTTTGCTTTAGCGGTTCTGCACGGTACCTGATGATTTCCGCTGTTTTGCCCCTGCGTTGTTAGTACCTGCGTCGAGCTACGCTGGCTACCGAGATGTCCATGGACAAGGGACTTGACCTGCTGACTGCAGTGCGCTGCAGAACCTCTCAAGTCTTGGCTTCTTCTGTTTGGAGTTGCTGAACCGGGAATGAGAGTATCAATGACTGGGATGAACGTGGAGTCTATAGTGGAACGTGGAGAGTGGGACGGCCGTGAAAGACACCGCATTATTGATTGATACAGTAGTAGCTAAAATCTCACTTGTCTCTGGATGATACATAGCTCGATCTGCTAGTCAGGCTGAGCTATTCATTGTTTGTTTTTGTTCCGATCCTGTTTACTCAATGCATTGTTTGTCTCGATGTTGCTTCTTATCAGCTTGTTTGCGTAAAGTATCGTACCCAATTCTGCGCCTGAAATTCCATGGCAAGGACCTTCAAAAGGTCTGTGTTCCAGCTTCGAGAAGGGGTCAGACAAGGATATGCTTATTGGCTACGTAACGAGCGGGCTTGATTTACAATGCTACTGTAGGCTACCCGCTATGCTCATCCCAGCTTTATTCTCTTGCTGTCATGCGTGAGTGGACGAATGAAAAGATTATCTGCATCTACAATCAGCCAACGGACAGTATGTTTCGATATCGATACAAACATTTGCACTCTGCATGCGGTTTGGAAACTTCAACACCAGCTATGATAGGTCCAGTCTGATAAACCCTCAGGGCAGCCTCGACTTAAGGCGTTCGCGATGGCTTTTCATCATCGTCAAGAGCTGCCACACTTTCTTTAGTCGCCGTTAGGCAAACGCCTCACATCAAAGACAGAGCTTCCAGCCCGCCCATCGAAGAATTCAATGCCGCTAGCAGAACCGCCAACTCATCAGCACGAGCCAAAATCTTGAGTGATCATCCGGTGTTGGGAACTCAATTGTAGACATTTTCCTTGTTTACTCAACATGTCTCTGTAGCAATGAGCTCAAGATGCATTGCTACTCTCGAGGTGTCATCTGGAGCAAGGCTGCGGGGTTTATGCAAACGATAGTTATGGGTAGGGCATGATTAGCTTGCATGTGCATGCAGTAGCGGTTGTGAAGCTCGAGGAGAGTAGCCTGGAATGGTTGAAAACAAACAAACAACATGGCGCGATTCGTGATATTGACTTTTGGTCAGATACAAGCAGTCAACAACACGACACCATCACCAACCACCACCAGGAATTGATTATCTAGTATCACATGCCGTCATCACATCATCAATAAGATGCGCACAAAACGAAATCCAATAAGCGCCCAGATTTCTCCAACGGTCCGCATAAACACCCTCATTCATCTCATTTCTCTGCCAAGGTTGTCCTTGACCAGGGTCTCCTCGGCCAATTACGCTTAGCTGCCAAACCTTGTTAGTTAGCGGAGACGATTGACTAACTAATTGGCATTGCAAGCTTTCACTTTTTGCCCTCTGTCGGTTACTTTTCCCAACAAGAGATGAGATGTGATGTGATGTGATGCTTGCTTGATCAGATCTGGATTTGGAGCTGCCCGCGATCGATCCAGACCGTGTCCAAAAATAAAATAGCAGAAACTAAAAGAAAGTTTTCTTTTGCCTGCATTGGATCTTTTTGGTTATGTAATTCTCAGCTCCGTTTGGTTAATACGACATGCATTGGTTCTGAGCTATCGTTTGGCGTCTTGGCCAATTGCAGCTCTGTGGGCAACTCCTCTACAGACACGTCAGAACTAAGCCTCACATCTCAATATCGCTTCCATGCACTGCTTTGACGATGGCCTCTGCTGGTGAATCATAGTTCATGTATCCTGCGGGAGAAAGGGGTTTCTGATGTAATAGAGACCATCGTTGGACAATGGAGTGAGTACTATACGTGTCATTTATGTTTCTGTGACAATGTGTTGAAGTAGCATCTGTCGCGTCAAACGAAGATATCAACAAAGATTGCGGCAGTTAATTTCATACAAGCAACTGCCTAGTAGTCAAAGGGCGATAAGCTCCAGTACTTAGACATAAGTTAAGTCGTCTGCCTTGATTCGCCTTAAACTCCAATTCAAAGAGTGACGCTCGATTCTCTGAGCTTCAAATACATGGGTACAGGGTAGCAACTTCGACTCATGATCGTCGAACATATCAGCACATAAAATCACACAATTCATTCAGGCTCCCAGGGGAAATAGAAAGAGTACAAATGGCTTTGAATTAAAAAAAAAAATACGTCTTGGTCACAGGGCTTCCCCTGCTTGGCTGAATATTTGCCCTCAGTGAGGCTGCCCATGACTTAGGAAAATCAGGGTCTAGGTGCCAGAAACTCCAGGTCTGTGCAAAAACCCTATTTACAGAATGCAAAATTTGCTGTCTAAATAAATGATCATGCAGTATGCCCCATGTTTAAGCCGAGACAAGTAATCTGAATTTACACGTCTTGCAAAGCACTAGGTTCATCATCAATCTCAAAATGCTCTACCATAGAATATCGTCAACGTTAACTCTTAATGATATTATGCTACATATTCAATGTTTCAAGCGTAATCTAATGATATATACACGGGCTCAGCCAGAACTCCCATCACCCTGGATCTTAGACAAGACTTTCACGGACGTCAGTTATGTGCTGGCAACTCAGCCCGCCCATTATAGCCCTGCAACGGAGTCCCAGATAGCTCTTGTGGAGTTTGAGGCTGATATTGATACCCCTTCGAAGCACACACGTACTGAGATTGTTGCCGAGCATCCGTCATCGAGTTGTTACTCAAAGATGGCTGTTGCTCGCCCTGCTTGGCAGCCTTTTCGTTTCTGCGCATCTTCCAAAAGAGATATATAACAGCAACAGCCATGATGGCTCCAACACCGACACCAGCCCCAATTCCTGCCTTTGCACCAGTGGAAAGCCCTGCAGGTGCTTCAGATGACTCTGATTTGCCCGGCTCAGAACTGGACGGTAGAGATGCGTTGCTTGTTGTGGTGGATGAAGAAAAAGCAGAGGCTGTCGAAGATGCGACATCTGTTGTTGCCGATGCGGTTTCGGTCGTGGACTTGCCACTAATCATTGTACCAACAACGTCATATTGAGTCGCCTTTTGGTTCCATGTCGCCCAAACTTTTGGGTCAGATGGGAATACATTGAATCTGCCAACGCCGCTGTTGCAGCAGTTGGTATTGTGGTCGCAACAATAAGACGTGTCACTGTTTGTAATGTTGGAGCATTAGATCAGGTCAGTCCCTCCTGTGTCAGCGCCTGGGAAGAGTAAGTACAACTGTGCGATATCTTTTGTCTGATCGTCACCCACCCAGGCAGAACATAGCACACTCGGGTGATGCCCAGTTCTTATCCGTACATGAACCTCGCACGGTATTTCCATCGGCCCCGATGCATAGCTTGTTCGATAGACATACTGTCCCTAGGCCTCCCGAGCAACAGACACTCTGCTTTGCATTGGGATCACAAGGGTGGTCTTTGGCTTCGATGCCGTTGGGATAGTAACACTTGTTGGAGGCGAAACATAATTGGGAGAAGGTAAGAAATAGGAGAGAAAGGAGGAAACTTTTCATCGTGATAATCGACTTGCATAACAGTACAGAGAAGTGTGTGTACCATGCAGGGAAAAGAAGCACAGAGTTTTGAGGGAAAATTGGGTAGAAAGGATGAAGAGAAAACTAAAGAGCGACCCAACAGATCAGAGATTAGACTCATGCAACAAATCGTCTTTAGGTCTGTTGGTTACACCAACCTTGGCAGTTCAAGGGAGTGTATGAGAAGCTGCACGAAGCCGCTGGTCTAGTGTTATACAGAAATAGACGCTCGCTGGCTGAGCCAGCAGTTATCGTTCCAAGGAATTGTCCCGATCATCACTTGGCTTTGGGACATTTCTAACGAGGGCTGAAGTTATGTTGGTTGTAGATTCCACATCATACCATATCATGAACTCTCACTGGTGTGTTGGTTGAAGATAGTTGTGGTTAAATGGTATCCTATACCGGGCGGCAAGAGAGGATCGATAATTGGCTGCAAGGCGCTTCACCCGACACGGCCGGAGACTCGGCCCCACACCGATTCAGGGGTCCATCCATCGCCGCGATTAATGGCGACAGGGCTGAAATTGTCTTATTGTAATTCTGCCCGAAGCTGATCGCATTCTGTCGCTTCAACTCCCTTCAACTCATTGAATCAGTTTGGCCACGATGTTATCACCGGCTCTTGCGCACCGAAAGTGTGTCTACACTGCCTCGATAGCCGTCGTGATCGTCATCTTTTTAGCTGTCAACTACGCATATAGTGGCAGGATAAGACGTTAGTTGTTCGCACACACTCATCCTGGGTTGTTTGCTAATGCACATGATAGCAAGCAGCTTAGCTAAAGAAGACCCATTGCCTACGGCTCCTGTCACTCTTCAACAGGAACCTTTTCCACACAAGATATGGCAAAGTTGGAAAGACGACACAGAGAATCCAACTGATAGAACGGTTGGCTTTCCACATCAATGGCGTGTAGTCAATCCAGATTGGCGGTACGAGCGCATTACTGATACCAACAATGACGCCTATGTTCGCGACCGATTTGATGCCAACATCTTAGACGTATTCACAAGCCTGCAGGATCCAATTCTCAAAGCCGATTTCTTGAGGTACCTGATACTGCTGCGCGAAGGTGGCGTATGGGCTGATATCGACGTTTACCCGCATCAGCCAGTATCGAAATGGATCCCAAAACAGTTTCAAAGCTCAGTGAATCTTGTCGTTGGAATAGAGAATGACCATCACAAACAGCCCATCTGGCCTGGCTCTCCGTACTCCGTGCAGTTATGTCAATATTCGGTGTTAGCCAAGCCAAATCATCCTGCCATCAAGACGCTCGTGAGCCAAGTGGTAGAGGATCTCAAGAAGCTTCTTGAGTCCAAGCAGCCCGGGGAGGCAGTTTCTTTTGAGGACGTCATGTCGACTACTGGACCATTTGCTTTCACAAAAGTTCTCATGGACTATTTCAAGGAGTCCACAGGCGTGGAACATACCGGAGATGAACTAGATAGACTTGAAGAGCCTCGATTGATTGGTGATGTGCTTGTCCTGCCAAAGGATAGCTTTGGATGGCTGCCCCAAGAACACACTCATGATAAAGGAGACCCAATCATCCTCGTTGAGCATTTATTTATCGGATCATGGCGAGATGGTCATCCTGGATGATGCAGAAAGGCGACATATATGGGGGCGTTGGTGATATTATGGGAGACATTCCGGGCGTTATGGTAATTCGAAAATGTCTAGGGGCAACCAATAAGAGATCATTTTTATATACAACAAAACACCCTGGGGTTTCAATTTAAAGAAGGATGCCAATTTGAGGTACCTCTACTGATTGATAGATCATATCCTCGTAATACTGAACGATATGGGGTATGTGCATCCTGGATGTTGGCCCTCAAATGGATCCATTCTCACCGAGGATGAACTACATTTCAGTGAAAACAACGAGTTCAAAAGGAAAGGATATAATCGAGGTCTCATATCGAATAAAAAGAAAAAAGACTTGGCAATTGCAAAATGACGTTGTTCAAGTTTGACTGGTCCCGACTCTGACACCAACGCTACGCGCAGTCACATGATCATTTCTAGATCCCTCCATCTTGCAGTTAAGAAAGTTTGATTTCCAATCTCCAACGGTCGCATTCAAAAACCACCCCCGTCAATTCTAAATTGACCACCGAAAACCACAAAAATGGCCGATTCAACAACAGAACCTCAAGCTCCTGCCCCAGTATTCAAAAAGCGAGGCGCAAAGGGCAAAGCGAACCTACGAAAACGACCTGCGACGCCACCACCCGCCGATAGTGATGATAGCGACTACTCATCATCAGAAGACGAGTCTGGACAGCGCGTCAAGCGGCGCAAGAAGACCGCCACCGTCACAGCATCTTCTAAAGACTTAGCAACAGGGAAGAAGGATCTTTCAGCGACGGTTTATACGGCAGACCGCAATGTTCCCATTACAAGTACCAATGACGCGACAAAACACAGCAACTGGTACGATGAAGACTCTCAGGATGCGCTATCAGCAAAGAATCTCCTAGGTTCAACAAGAACTGCCGCAAAGGATTCACAGCCAGATGGAACATACAAAGGACTCGCAAATCAGACGACTTTCATCCAAAAGAACCCCGATGCGCCCAACAGAGCGAAGGGTCCCGTCAAGGCCTCCTCAAATGTTCGTACCATCACGATCATGGACTTCAAGCCAGATATCTGCAAAGATTACAAAAAGACCGGTCACTGTGGCTTTGGCGATTCGTGCATCTACTTACATGATAGAACGGACGTAAAGCAAGGCTGGCAGCTCGATAAAGAATGGGAGGAAGTCACCAAGGGGAAGAAGAACCTAGGGGGTACCATCATCGCGAGCGCCAACCGCGACAAGAAGGAAGAGAAGGCGGAAGATGAGGCAGAGATTGCTATGCTGGAGAAAATTCCTTTCGCATGCATCATCTGCGAGGGGCCTTATAGGGAACCTATTCAGACCAGGTGCGGACACTACTTTTGTGAGCCATGTGCTCTGAAGAGATATAGAAAGGATCCAACATGCGCGTCCTGTGGAGCTGGCACGAACGGCGTTTTCAACTCAGCGAAGAAGCTGAAGAAGCTATTAGAGAAAAAGAAAGAGCGTGAAGAGCAGAAGAAAAAGAAGGAAGAGGAAGAGGCTCAGGAGGAGCAATGAGCATTGGGCTTGTAGACGTGTATTTCTAAAATATTGTTATGAGAAAGAAAAGATACCACGATATTTCGAATAGAGCACTTGATCACTTTATACCAATTCATTGACCATGGCTAATTCTGCTTCTCTTGTCCTTGTGATCTAAGCACCAGACTTATTCTCATCTGCTCAGGAGACGTTCAAGGTATACACGTGAGCAGAGCCTCTGGAAGATGACGTGCATGCTGATAAGATAAGCCCAGCTCGTTACCCACATCAGTCAAGCTCAACAGGCTCTGAGTGGCTGTTCCCCACGTCACGGCCAATGAGGGGTCCAGGCATACACCTCCATGTGATCGCCTCACCAGTGAATATCTATTACTCAGGCACCTTGACACATTTGTCTTTATCAGTCATCCACCCTTTCTTTTCAGGCAGACGACGGAGAGACGACGAGATACTCTAAACCTTTTTATTCTTGCCTAACTCTTCACTTATTTCTATACTTGCGTCATCAAGCCTGTACAGAATCTCAACCCCGCATCCTTTGAACGATACAGCGTTTCAGTCTACTACGACAAGCTTATCTGTCCGACTTCTTGAACATCGAGAGACGTCACATCTATCGAACGAGCGAACCGACGCGGAGCCATCATGAATTACATATACTCCACTGTCAACACCCTACGGGATCGTTATACTCCCGTCTCCCACAAGTCAACCTTCCGCCAGACCGGTCAAATCACACCAGAAGAGTTCCTCGCTGCGGGCGACTACCTTGTGTACAAGTTCCCGACCTGGTCGTGGGGCGACGCCGACTCTCCTGAGCATCGAGTGAGCCATCTTCCTCCCGGGAAGCAGTTCCTCGTCACACGCAACGTTCCCTGCCACCGACGTCTAAACGACGACTTTGCAGGCGATGCGGGTCATGAGGAGGCACTTGTCAACGACGGCGAGGACTTCAAGGGAGCTACTGGTGACGATGAGGATGGCTGGTTGAGGACCGGTGGCCTGGCTAGTTCCCAGCCGCTCAAGGTCAAGGAGGTGAGGACGGTGGATGATTCCGGAAATGTCGGTGATCGAGAGGTTGTGGAGGATGATGATGAGATTCCTGACATGGAGGATGAAGACGATGATGAGGCTATCATCCGTGATTCTGGCGCCGATTCCAAAAACAGGTATGCAACATAGTTCGCGTCCCAAGAAGGTCTACTGACAGCATCTATCAGCGCTCACCGTACATACACCCTCTACATCATGTACTCCCCTTACTACCGAACACCCCGTCTGTATCTCTCAGGCTATCTTGCCAGCGGCCAGCCTCTCCCCCCTAACGACATGACAGAGGACATTGTCGGTGACTACAAGGACAAGACAGTCACACTTGAGGACTTCCCCTTCTTCGCGAACAACATCAAGATGGCCTCTGTGCATCCTTGTAAGCACGCCTCAGTCATGAAGACACTACTCGACCGTGCCGATGCCGCTCTCCGCCTACGTCGCGAGAAGCTTCGTGCCGGTAGCAGCCAGACACCCTCTGGTATGGAGGGCCTGGTGGACGAGATTGGAAAGTTGGATGTCAAGGGTGTCCAGGAGGCAGCGGACAAGGATGAGTGGGAGGAGGTCCAGGAGGCCGAGATCGATGATCAGGAGGTCGCTATCCGAGTGGATCAGTACCTAGTTGTCTTCCTCAAGGTATGTTTATCCTTTTTTTCGTGGAATTGTTCTCCATTTCCTAACCTTATTTCTAGTTCATGGCCAGTGTGACACCTGGTATCGAGCACGATTTCACCATGGGTGTCTAATCGGATGAAACAATGACTGAGATTAGACGTGTGAGCAAGAGATACAGATGGACATGAACGTATGGATTGGGAATAACTATATCAGGAGAATAGGCGTTGACGGTGTTCGATTGATAAGATCTTCTATGGTAGTGACTGTATTCAGACAGTGTAGATTCTTTCACTTCCAGCATGAATACATGGAACGGTGTCTACGGTATGCATACTTACTTGAATGTGTCAGCCTGATGACCATCACCCATTCAATCTTTTGATGACGTACAACTTGATTCGCGGTGTTGCGTATGTCGTGGCTCAAAGAAGATAGAAATGTTAGTCAAGGCATTCAACAAAAGGGACCGTCAGGGAACATCGTGGAAACAAGTCACATAACAGATACCGCACTGATGAAAGAGAATCCCTTATTGCCCACAGGCCATTTCCTTAATATCTACTGATATATATATCCTCAACTCCCTTTGTTACGACCCACACCTTTGTGTTCTTCCACGAAAACCAGCAGATGAAGTCTTGCTCCAGACAACTCCCATTTAACCATTTTCGCCCAACAAGTCCTCGATCCGATTCCGACACCGACTTCCTATCATTCAGAGGGTATTCAAACACAGACCTCCACCAATGCTCCAACTTGCATAAAACAATTCCAGGTGAGCCTGCCTTCCTGTCATAAGCTCATAAACGCGTCACTGTTTACCGCTATTGCGACAATAATGTTGTAGAATCCGTGATCCCCAATAAAACAAAACGCAAAAGGTCTAATAACCAGTCCTCCTATACTCCTGTTCTATAAATGTGCATCCTTTTTTTTTATCCCTTGTCCCATAAAATCGCATGTGCGCTCGCTTGCCGTTGAACCTGATTGGAAACCCAACCCGAGGTGAAAAGACAGTTCGCAAATTTGACAGGCGTATAAATCGTGACGTGCGTTCAAGACCGCTCAATAGGCATTCAACGCGAAAACATTTCATCATCGTGAGTAAGACGTCAAGGGGATGCTTGAGAACGCTCCAAATCTTCCGGCGAAGACGGTGGAACCTGATTGCACGAGCTCGAGCTGGCTCGATGACTTGTGGCTCCTTGGATGCTGTCCTACATGGCACCAAAAGGGGCACCAAAGTTGGACGTGCTCTTCAACTTTAAAGGAACGTCAATTTCGATAGCCTTGCCACTGCCCTCGCCGTCACTATCATCGGCATCTCGCTGGGCGTCAGCAGATCCATCCCCACCGACTGGACGGGCCTGTTTAGGCACATGTGCGGGAGCGTTGGAGCCAGATGGACCAGCAATAGATCCCAACCCGTGACCTTGCATCACGGCCGGGAGAGCGTTTTGTCCTTGGCTTATAGGCTCCAGTGCTTCGTGCAATTTTTCAAAAAAGAGCTCATCTTTGGCTGGCATGTTTCTTAGCATGAGTGGCCCCTTGAGAGCTTTGTCACTGCCGCTAGGCTCCATCATGACATCTGGTGCGTTTAGGTCGAGCTCTTCTGTAACTGATATAAACGACACCTTAGAATCGCGCCTATCAGATTGCACTGGTATTGACAGAGTGTCCTTCTTCTCCTCTTCCGCGATCACAGCTGCATCCAGATTGATGACAGACTCAACGGTAGGCGTGGCGCCCTCACCAATGATGGAACCTGGGTCGGTCGGATTGACTTTAGGAAACAAAGACAGGGAATGATTGGGTGTATGGC